TAGTCCTGGCTGTTCATGCACAGGTGGCTGAAAAACTTGTGAAACCAACAATATCTCCAATTTATGTGAGTTTGCAATCTTAAGTTTTCCAGTCTGGGACATGACTTGCTTTGCACTACAGCTGCAATGAAAAAAAGAAAAAGTCATCAGGACGCTCTTTGTTTCTTTTTGAGGACCTGGTAATCCTTGTTGTATTTAAGGATCTCTTGGAAAGAATGAACAAGGATTTCAGGATTGACTCCACGTAAGTGTTATCTGAAGAAAAGACTCCCTCAGTGACAAGTAGTGAACTTTATTTTTTCATTTCTCCTGCCTTTCAGACCTTTTTTTAGAGGCTGAATGCCTTGTCTGACTTCACAAGATAATAAGATATAGAAACGTATGCCATTGCCTTAGTTGCTAACTCAGGAGGTAGTAAATTTTCTTTGTACAATGCTTTGTGTTACTGAAAAGACTGCACTGATTTGCTCATGGGGGATGCTCTTTGCCTCGTGTTCCCTTAGTCTCCGATAGTCTATTAGCCCGTGATTTTTAGCAGCATGCATTTGTGCCACATGCGTGTTGCATCCCCTCTTCCACTGCCTGCTTTTTGGCTGCTTTTTGTTTTCAGAAAGAACCAGAATTGTTCAGTCTCTTGGTTGTGAATGTAATTCTGTTCACTGCCCGAAAGCGAGCGCAGTGTTTGGGAGCGGTAGGTACCTTTTTAGGCTTTCTGGGAAGGAAGTGGACAAATGATTGTATCATGAACAATGGGAATTTTTTTGACATTTAGCCTTCCTAGCAGTAGTGCAGAGTAATTGGTTATCTTTTTATTTGCATCCTGAGCTGCAGCACTAACCACTTAGTTTGTTAGTTCTTAGTTATTTTCTACCTTTCATTTACACATCACAGAAATGCTTATTATTGATGTGTAAATGATGGTGTCCAAAACAGAGCCAGGACTTCCTTATACTGAGCTGTTTGATACCATTTTATCTCTTTTGGAGAAATAAAGCTTGTAGGACGGGCAACAGATTTTGAGTTGCTTGTTTCAGCTACCTTATATGTTACAGCGATGGCAATGAGCAGATTCAGGAGGTTTAGTTTCAACAGTGATCAAAGTTGCTCTAATGTGGAAATAGTTTTCTTTTTACATCTCATTTTTTTAATTAAGAAAAAGGAAAAAAAAACAAAACAAAATAAAACACTTTGAGATGCTGGTGCACATTTCATTTATAATACTGTGGCTGCATACTTGCCATAACATGCACTTGGCTTCTATTCAGTGTTGTTGTTCTGAAAGCAATTTTAATTTTGAGGCTGTGTTAAAATACATTCAGCCTTGTGTTTCAAAATGTACAAACTCATTTACACTCTATATTTGTCATTGCAAGCACTGTTAAATTGCAAATGAAAGAGCCACGTGTAACAATTCCCATTAATGTGTGTCTAAAGCAAGTAACCTCAAATAAAAGAAATGCTTAAACTGGGAAAGATGTCCGTATGTTTCCACTCTAACTTGACAGCCAGGTGACCAGGTACACCTGCACGCTGCTGCTTTTATTTTGCTTATGATCTGCATGTTGGGGAAAATGTTCTTCCTCAACATCAGGAAATTCTCACCTTTTAAAGCAACTCCAGGCAAGTTTGAATTACTGAAAAATTTAGGATAAATTTTTTTCAAAATGCAGCATGTTCAACCAAGAGATCTCCCTTGGGTATCAGACATGCATGTGTTGTCACTGGCTTTGGAATAAATTGATAATACAAAATGGGAGCCATATAAAACATACAGTGGTTTATTCATTATAGTAACTGTGTGAATTCTTATTTGTTTGGCCCCGGTTATTTAATTATTCATTCAAAGGCTAAAGGCCTTCAGGCTCTATGAGAAAACAGAAGTTTTACTATGTTTCTTAGTATTCATATAACTTAAAATGTTACTAGAGCAATTTCTAACTTATACCCCCAAATAAATTTTACATTTGTGTATTTGATTGTTCTAATATAGCCAGTTTATTTAATTGGCTGTAATATTATAATACAGAAGACACTGGCCTGTACGTGCTTTAAAACACTTGCATGTCTATGAATGGTAATGGCATTCATTGGGGAATATATAAGGCTAGAGAGAGGTGTTTTCTTGCCATTGCTGTTTAACTTGATACTGTTTTGGTAATCTAATTTTATTGTTACACCAGGGTGTTTCTGGTAAATGGAGGAGAGTATAACCAAATTATAATGGGCAGTATTTCTTTCACTTTTAAATGTATAAAGAAGAAACATGTATACATTCATACACACAGGATTTTTCAGTTCTAGGGAAAAAAAAAAAAACTGGAGGAGAATTTGGTTTGGATAGCAATAAGGATAGCAACTTAAGTACTGCCAAATGCTGCGCTCTGAAATAATGACACCATTAGCAGCCCTTTTAGCTTTCTACTGAAAAGTATTTTGTTAGTGATTTATTTTTTTCCTGGGAAAGTGAAGGAAAATTACAACTGTTGCATTTCTGGACAGAATATGCATTGAACCATTTGATAAGCAGGATATGTTCAGTGCTTGGCATACCTGTTCCAAGGCACACCTGCGTATGGATTGTCGCTTTACGTTTTTATTATTTAAAAGACCCTTCTAAAACTTTCTCAGTATTTGCTGCGAAAAGATAAATCTTTGATACTAATCTATTGGAGGAAGAATCTTCCCATTCTAGAACCCTGCTGCCCGGTTCAAGGTACATAGTTACTTGTCAAAGTCTTTGTCAAGCACAGACAAACACAAGACGTGCATACACTGCGTTGTACTATGCATGAGACTCAGTTTCATCCTCTAAAAGAACTAATTTTGAATGGGGAAAATATTGCTGTTCAGTAATCCAGTTCTGCAGCACTACTGCTGTATGCTCCATGTATTCCGTTTGAAAACACTTGCATGCAGCATATATGCTGTATGCATGCTGCATATTTCTACTTCTTTCTGTTTGAGTGTATAAATGATGAATGGAAACTAATTCTATTTTAACAAAACAAAGTAAACATCCCAAATAGCAACAATCTTTCTCAACTCAAAGTGGCTGCAAATCAGCTCCTAAATATTGTCACTGAAATTAATATCTAGATTTAATAGTTCTTGCCAATCCTATAAATGTTTTTGAAAGAAGCATTGCATTAATGCATGATATAGAAAGGATAAATTTGCCTTTAAATTGGAATGCAGTTCAAAGTGACTGAATTCTCCAATTTCAGCCACTATATTTGCCAAAGAACAAACTGTAAAATGGAACTGGTATCATTCATCTGCTCCTGGTTCACTGGGAGGTTCTGGGAAGGGACTTCCTGTGAAGGTAAAAGCAGAATAGTTTATCAGTAAACTGTAATGATCACTATAAATTTATATTCTGAAGTAGTGTAGGTTTGCTTTTAAATTCCTTCAGCACAGAAAAGCTGTAAGAAACAGTAGTGGTTTAGAAATTCTTTACCATCAGTCATTGATATGCCCTGGTAATCACAGGTAGGCTGATTTATAGGAAGGCTTGCTCAGTTTTGCTGTTGGTTAAATACATATATCATGGCTGCACGTACTTTATTCTGTTACTTTTAAATAGCTCCAACTGGATAAAATAGTTCAACTATCTCTAAACCATTTAGACTTGAGAGATTAATATAATATTTTGGACTTAAAAAAATCCCAGACAACAAAAATGAAAACGTTAGGTTCCTCTTATTAATAGGTATTACCCCTGACAACAGTAACTAGCTGAGCAAACATATAATTATGTATATGTATTATGTACAATTGTTCTCCAAAATTAGATTATTTCAGTGGTTCTGGTTTATTATGTAAGGTGTGGTCATCAGTGCAGAAATACAGAAGACAGCGTCTTCCCCCTAGGAAGTTTAAATCTGAATAGAAAAGCCAGTTATTCCTCAGTGAGCTACAGCTGATTTAAATAAATAAAGATCTGTGTTTGTCCATACTGCTTATTTGGAAACACTTTAGCCTACGTCTTCAGCTGATTTGTCCATTAAAATTCTTCAGTGGGAATGATTACATTCTCCAGAAATCTTCAGGGTTTTTTTTTTTTTTAAATCATTTAGCCGTCCTCTCATATTTCTAAACCAGATTGATCTGGGTGACCTCCAGAGAAGCCAAAATCATGTTGTTTAAAATATCCTTCTTAATATGAATATTTCAGAGGTCTGTCCCAAGCTGTCTCTGTATGCATAAGGGACTCTGCTAATAAAGTCTGAGAGAAATAAATAAGTCTCAGTGACTGAAAGAGTGAAATTACAGAAATTTAATGTTGTTTTCTATTAGCATGTCGCCAATACAGATATTTCATCCCTGTTTTGGACCTTCAAACTAAACAGCTACGTCATAGTGACTGATACCAGTTCCATTTTGCCTACCAACTGAGTTGATTTTTATATTTTATTTCTCATTTATGATGGAATAATCAGCAGCTCTTTCTCATTTATTTTCTCATATTTTTATTCCAGGATTTGCCTCTGAAGCAGGGAGTGTCTGCATTAAAAATGACCTGTAGTTCTCTGCTTCATAGGTTAGAAACTTATTTTAATATTTTGTGGCTAAGCACAGTCCCGTCTTTTTCAAAAATAAAAATTTCCAACAATAAATGGTTTAATTGGCATTGAATGTGGATTATAAGCATTTTGCATTGGGGCTTCCATTATTTTAGATGAAATGGCTTCTACACAAATAATTAGTCCAGATGAGGCAATGAAAGCTCTGTTTACTTGCAGCCATTTTTATGAATTAACATTAAGTTTTAAAACAGTTGATTACAGTGGATCATACTAAGTCTTATTTGGACATTTCCAAAGTACTGTACTGGCTAGGCTGTATTGCTTTAAGCATTTACATTCTAAAACTTACCAAATTCCAAATATTTGTTGGGGGAAAGAAATCTGTTCCTAAATCACTTTATTTCAATGGGACTGCTATAGCCAGCACACACAGAACCATGTATCTTGTATTTACTTCTGAATTATACACCGCAGATGCTTCTTCAGCTCCTTCCTCTTCCTCCATGGGCGGTGCTTGCAGCTCCTTTACCACCTCTTCCAGTCCTACCATTTACTCTACCTCAGTCACCGACAGCAAGGCTATGCAAGTGGAGAGCTGCTCCTCAGCCGTGGGGGTAAGTACCAGAGGGGTAAGTGAAAAGCAGTTAACCAGTAACACAGTCCAGCAGCAGCAGTCAACGCCGAAGAGACACACAGTCCTGTACATCTCGCCACCACCCGAGGACTTGCTGGACAACAGTCGGATGTCCTGCCAGGATGAGGGCTGTGGATTGGAGTCAGAACAGAGCTGCAGTATGTGGATGGAGGATTCACCCTCCAACTTCAGTAACATGAGTACCAGTTCCTACAATGATAACACTGAGGTGCCACGTAAATCACGCAAACGAAATCCAAAGCAGAGGCCAGGGATCAAACGTCGAGATTGTGAAGAGTCCAACATGGATATATTTGATGCCGACAGTGCCAAAGCGCCTCACTATGTCCTTTCTCAGCTCAGCACGGACAGCAAAGGCAACTCAAAAGCAGGAAATGGGTTGGTATCTGCTTTTTTTTTTTTTTTAAAAAAAAGTTCTATCATCATGTAAAACCAAACTAATAAAACTCCCTTCATGCCCCGTCAAGTGTTCTACTCAGGTTCTCACATAAATCCCTTCCCTTCTCTGCTGTTCCCTTCTGCGTCCTAGCCCATGATAAGTTCTCATTAGACTTGTTTAGTTTTATCTTCTAAATAAAGATTAACTTTCCTGCAACAATTGGACACACCACTGATGAGCTCATATGTATTCTTGTTTAAGTGAAATTCCTGAAAGATTGCACAATTCCATTTACAAAACGGCAATGAAAACATTATTGTATTTAAAAAGAAAGGCAGAAGTGGACTGGATACACCCTAAATCTTATTATTTCTTGCAGGATTTTATGTGAGGATTTCAGTCTGTACACTTCACCTGCTTCTGTTTGTCTCTTTATTTATCAAATAGAGAGAGTGACGGGAGTTAATGGCTTGTTAGGATTTCTCATCATTTAAATTAACACATGCTTTACTTTTTTTATAAAATGTTAAGATGATGTGGTGAACCAGATCTTGTTTTTTCTTGTGAATTCACTTCTGTATTTGATTTTTTCAGAAATAAATCTCTAATCCTGTTTCTCTCTGTGCTTCTGGGTTGTGTGCATGCGTGTGTCTGTACGTGGGCACGCCTGGGTGGTGGTCTCTCATCTCTCCCACTTCACACTGTTCACTAAATGCATTTTCAGTAGTTGCTTAAAGGGGTGAAAGTCCATCAGTTTACGATAGTGTGTTGATACATTTTTTTAACTTGTGGCTTCTTTAGTACTCTTAAAATGGTCAAATGGGTAGATTTGGCTTTTTTATTTTGTGATTTTTTTTTTGGGGGGGGTGTGGAGGGGGAAGGGGTCAAGTGTATTTTGTTTGTTTTTACTTTTATGTATGTGCTTGCAGTACGTTCTAATGTTCATCACAGTAATGGTGAATATTAAAATTTGACTGATGGGAAAGATTATGAACCTCTCATATCCCAAAGGGAAAGAGCCTGGAGTCTGTATTCCCAGGGTCATTGCAGTTCCATACTTAAAATTTCACTGTGAGAAAGTGATTCTGAGAAACTCTCCAGAGTGTGCCAGCCTGGGTGCCGCAGCGGGAGGAGGGGGGCTGGCCGCTACCGGGCGAGTTGGCTCTGCCGCCCGCTCGGGCCTTGGCCGCACTTGTCCCGCATCTCTCGTTTTCACCAGCTGGAATTGGTAATAAATTAAAACATCAGTACATGGTAGAGCCGAGGCAGCGAATTAGCATATGTAAAGCAGCTGCTTGGAGCTGGGAAATTGCCTCCACTGAGCACAAAGGAGGTTAGGCGCTCCCTTACAAAGGGAAGAAACTTTATCGAAAGGGAAGAACTGTGTGACTGTAAATGTGATCTCTGGACAGAAAGGGGAGATTTAGTAAGCTCTGGAACAATATGTATGGTCTCAAATCTAAAATGTCACAAGACTGTAACGTTCCCTAAAATGTTAAGGGCTAACCAGTGAACATTCATCAGAACTGTCAGCAATACTCTGAATGCAAGGCCAGATAAGCATAATTTTTTTCCTAATGTGTCTTATACAGGGCAGATTGAACTGCAGCAAAACTCTTACATAACAGAATTGTCCTTTTAAATAAAAGCTCTGGGATAAGAAGCGGCCAAGATATTAGAAAACTTAATTTTGTGGTTGGAGTATGGAGACTGAGCAGTACAAATCTAGGTCACAGTAGTGGATTTCTTTTTTTTTTTAACTTTCAGCCTGATGGAGTTCAGCCAAGGGAGTTCATTTACTTTTGGCTTTAAGAAAAGAGCAAGGAAAGCCCCCTTGTGAATTGGTGAAGCGGAAATAGTGTTTGCCCCAAAAGAGACTTCTAGTCAGTTGCCTTTAAAAGCTAGGAAGGAAGAGAATGTATTCCTGTGGACACGGTTGGAATTTGTGAAAGCTGCCTTAGAAACGGGTGAATTGATGGTGATTTAGGGCAAAGAGTCTCAGATTTCTGACATGCTTGGTCTCACCTTCAGCTTCAGCCTTCGCTGGGAACAGCCCCGGTGCCAGTGCAGGACCAGGGAAGCCTTAACTCAGGAAATCTGTTTGAATAGAATCGTGGGCTTTGCCACTCAGATTTCTTTTTTAGAAAAGACATGCTAGCTTTGCGGAGACCTTGTCTGGTAACAGTTAAGCTAATAAATATATGTGTGTGTGTGTATGAAATATTTTACTGTTTTTATGTGCATGAATATTAGTATTGTAAATAAAGTAAATTAAAAGGATTTGTAAATGATATATCCTGGTAATTTAAGAAAGACCACTGAGAAGTTCTGGTGAAGGCTTTGCAATTGCTTTTGAGTTCAGCTAATCTGATTGAAAGTAATGATTACTTTAGGTTTCTAGAGGGAAGGCTTTCAAAATAATTGTTAGGCAGCATCTCTTCGCATAACTATTACAATGTGTAAAAATATTAGCATGTTGACAATTAAAGTAATTTGGGTTGTAAGAGTGCTATCAGGAAAACAAGAGCTGTGATGGAGAGGCCGAAGTGTTAATGCCACGCTGCTAAAACTTTGCATTTTGAGTGTTAAGTGACTTTCATTTTGATGACTGCCTCTGTAACTTTTCCCTTCCCTTCAATAGTGTTTTTATTTTTTTTTTTAAACAGCCTGTTTGACTAGAGTGTGCTAATCAGGACTCCTTGGCAGAAAGATGGTACGCTCGCAGTCTTTTTTTTATACTAGTTTTTATGCTATTTGCCTCCCCTCAATAGCATGAGATATTAGCCATATAAAGCAGGGTATTAAACATGGTAAAAACAGCAAGCCTGTGATGGCACAAAGGAAGTAAAATCCAACCTTTTTCCACCAAAAAGTTCCTAATAGATCATCCCACCACTTTGAGTCTAACATTGAATTCCATTTTTGTACCGGGACATGGGCCAATTTGCGAATATTTGTCGCTATTTCTAAGACTGCTTCTTCATTGTCATCAATCTGCAAGCAGCAATTTGACACGTTGATTTTTTCCACACACCCCTCCTTCTTCTGCTTGGAAGATAGTCTAGGGCTAATCTGTTATGATACACCGCTGCCCTGATTTGCTTCAGAGGTCTTGTTATTAGTTCTAGGGCATTTGCAGTTTGATTCGAAATTAGTTCTACTACAGCCTGTAATCGAATTATCCGATTTAACATGTAGACAGGAGTTCGGTGCCCCCAGCTACCGTCCTGGGCCCACGTAGCCAGTCCATATGTTTCGATAATTCATTCAGGAGTCCATTCATCATCCCCCCACTTTTGATTTCCCCCTATATCTATTGATCGTTTCTGCCAAACTAAGTCCTCGTACACAGGTGCTCCGAGCTCACCACCTCTTGTCTGAGGTAAAAGGAAGAGCTCAGTTTGAATTATCCTCAGTGTACAGCTGCCCTCCCAATCGCCAGGGAGTTTTGGATATGCCCGTTTCCCACATATCCAAAATAGACCATCGGGTGCTTTCCATAACCACTCAGGGTGGCTGCTATATTTTCCCAAAATTTAGTTATTTCATCAATTCCAGAAAACGGGTTTTGGTAACTTTCTGTGATGAGGTATTGATATAATTTATATTCAGGGTTTAACGTACAATAATCTGAATCCACTTTGGATGCCCAGTGCTCTTTAGGAGATTGGGGCTCCTGCCATTGGTGGGTGGAACTGGTTACGAGAGTCCGTATACAAAGGGTTCTGCCCACTGAATTTCTGAATGAATTTCCACGGCGTTCTAGGCATTCCTGTCCTGGCATGACTGAGTTCAGTATCCATCCCTCAGGCCTTACAATTTTGCCAGTAACTGTACGGTTCCACCGGACTGTATCAAAGGCACTCAGGCTAGTCCCTTTCCATGGCCATTCTTCTGTGGTTAGGGGCCCCCCACAAACCCAACAGTTAGATACATTCAACTCTTTGGCTAGTTCTATGGCTAGGTTTACAAATTTTGTCCCAGAGTGGGGAATCTCAGCTCATTTTCTAGGTCTCTTATTAGGGCATCATAAAGTTCTGTTACAGATCTTTTTGGCCGTTGTGGTACTGGCTGTTTTACTTCTGTTAACATCTTTTACTTGGATTTTCTTCTTCCCACTAAAAATATCTCCATCCACCCTTCTGTCTTTGGGAAAGCAAAGCCACGCTGGTGTTGGACATCCAGGTTTTGAGCCTAAATTTTTTGTTACCCAGTACTGGTTATTGGGACCGTAACGTGTTTCCATTTGGCTGTGGTTATAACACTTGTCATTGACATGTGCCTGTACGGTAAATGCAGTCCCGTAGTCACGGCTGCGGTAACGATGCTGTTTAAAGCACTTGCTGCACGGATTTGCTGCTATTAAAGCAAGCCACGTCAGGATGGTTAGCAGAGGTCTGGTATAACATACACTCCCACCTCTCATGCCTGTGGGGTTGCAGCCCACAGCTGAGATAAAGGTGGTCTTGGTGGCGAGCACAGAGGTTAACTCGGTCTTGCCCTCCTCTGTTTTGAAATGTAACGAATCCGTGTTTTAAAACTGAGTCAATTCAAGTGCAGCCCCTTTGGAGCCACTGTCTTTGTTTCCAAGCAAACCTTTTTTGGCACTTTCTGACAGTGTCCTTCCACCGACTCTCAGGGATGTCCCAAATTTTGGGGACTAACCTCTTTTTCCCACAAATCAGGGTTACAATTCGTGCCCTTCCCCTATACTCACAGTCCCTATTACAGTTATAACACAGTTTTCTCCATCTGCAAGAGATACAATACCACCTCTGGTTACACATTCCACACTCACACAAAACCCACACTTCATGAAATTCATGTATGCACTCGAGACAAGGTATTACCCTATTAGGTTGATTTTCTAGCAACGCCCGATCTAACCTAGAATGCTCTTAATCTGTTACCAAAAGCCATTCTGATACTTGTCCGCCAGTTAATGCTCGGTAAATGCCAGCTTTTTCCCTGATATCTTTTTGTGGTTCCCCATGCAGTG